GCATTGCTGGGTGTGACCCAAAAAGCAAAAAAAGAACAGATGCTGCAGTGAGAGAGATGCCAGTGCCCACACTTAGAGGATACACAGTGCTCGGGAGCCCGCCTACCTCTGGGGATGGAATTTAGGAACTAGCATTGACCAGACATGTTCGCCATGATTTTGAGCATTTCCCTGGCTCTATCTAGGTTTGTCTTTGGTTCTATTTGGACTGGTGCGTGTGGGGTGGGGGCAGGGAGGGGAATGTCATCTGGGAAATTTTATTACAAGCTCCATTGCAAAACATGTCCAAGAGTATTTTCATCTCAGTGTCCTCGTAAAATATAACGTTATTTCAAGTGTTCACTTAAGATCCACCTCCCCCTATGAAGGCTGTACTGTATTGGCTAGGCAGTCTTATTATTCTAATTTCTACCTTTTCCTCTGCTATAGAGAGTTGAATTGTTGTCATTCTTTCAGTAGGAGTTAAAAGGATACAACTCAGTATGATGAGAACAGATTCTACTTCTGGGATTTGTGAATGCTTTAAATTGGGTTATTCTCTCAGGGATCAAAATCATATCACTCTGTGAATTCTGTATTCTGGCAGTTTACTATAATCATTTATCAAAAACTGTAGCCCAAAACTCCCTTCTAAAGATAAAAACATGAAAAAAATTAAAAATATAGATCATTATTCTCCCATGTCAACATCAATCACATTAGATTATATGAGGTGTATTCCATAGCTGATTTTATGTATATGTAAAAATAGCACAGAGGTGGGACATAGAATATTTTGGCATTTAGAAGTTTTTTTCTTGGTTTCTGGGCTCTATGCTGTATCTGAGACTAAACAAGCATTATATCTTCTTGTTTCTCCCATTCGTTATTTTCTTATTATCTTAAACCTGGGGGCAGATAAATTGTATTTTCATCATTGTATACTTAACACGAGAGCATTATCTGGAAAAACCTGCAGATACCTATTACGGAAAGCATTAGGGAGGGGGTTAAGGAAAAGTAAATTAATAAGCATTGCATGTAGAGTGGTTATGAAGAGTATACAAAATTATGGAAAATATGATCTAAAGAGTTAAACATAAGTGTTAAATGTTAAATTGGACATGAATAGGAGAAATAAAAAGTCTTGAATCAAATCTATGTGAGGGAAAAGTAATGATGACTATTAGCAAAGGGAAGACCATGTTATAATTGAGAGAAACTATGAAAGAAGTAAAAGATATTTCAAGTGCTTTATGAAAAAGTAGATGGTTCTGACCAGCTAAGAAAATGAAGGTTGTGTGATAAATTAAATCAGTAACTTATTTAGATATGTATTTGTTTTAAGCATTGAGATTCAAGATTATCTAGTTTAATGTCACTATTTTACTTATAAATGAAAGAGAGAAAATTTTCAGTTATCTGAATACCTTTCTTGGAGGGAGGCCTCCCAATCAATGCTTAGAAGACTAAGAACCCCTCCCAGAACTTTCTGTCCAATGAAACTAGGCAACCAGATGGGAGGGATACTGGGAGCATTGGTGGTGGAGAATGGGAACTGGTGGAGGAATGGGCATTACAACATTGTATGACTGAAACATAAGCATGAAAATGTGTAAGTCTGTAACTGTACCCCACAGTGATCCATTAAAAAATGAATTAAAAAGAAAAGAAATTAGGCAACTAGACATGTGCATGTCTATGTATGTAAAATCTTTATGTAAAAAAAGCCTTAAATGAATTTAAGTTCTTATCAAAACTTAAGATTTGAGTTTTGTTACAAACTCTTACTGTTCATAGAAAGTTGTAATATGAAGCAATATAGCCTGAAGCTCAACTTTTAATCCACTTTTTTGAAATGTTGTGAAAGGTGTAATTCTGTATATGAGAAAATTCTTAAAGGTCGATGTAGTGAATATCTCATTATAGAGGAAAGCATTGTCTTACTCCTGATGTATTTGGGTTGAGAATATTAATATTATTCAGTTGAATGATTTAGAGGACGATACTCTTTGTTCATTAAATGCAGATCAATGGACAGCTGTATTTCTGATCAATAAGATTTTCTTATATGGTAATAAAAACCTTTAGCTATTCAGTTGTCTGTATTTCTATCTCCCTTTGTCTTTCAACATAGGTTTTATGTACTCACAAGCTTTGCATTTATAGTGCAGTTAAATTTACAATGAATGTGGAATGGTTATCAATATAGATTATGGTCATCAGATATATATATACATATGTAAATATATATGACTGATATACATTTTATATCACTAAATAAAAACATTCATTTTGATTTCACTGATTAAAAAAATAAAATTAAGAGAAACTTAATTTAATTAAGAGGAATTATTGGAAAAAACAAGCCTTCTAATATGAGATTATGTGTGTTCCAGTATTTCCTGCTCTCAACACAATGAAGAGTAATACATTTTGCCTGAGAAGTTAAATGCCATCAATCCTATGTACCATTTAGTTGAATAATTCTTTGGTACTTTAAAACTTGCTTCCCTCTTCACATGCGGTCTGTTCAGATTTTTTTTCCCCTTCATACCAACATAAGTCTCTCCATTGTTTCTATTTTAAGTACTTAAATATTCCTGAATATTAAAAAGTACTAATAACAATTTCCCCATATGTCTAAAATGTTAGATACATATTTCACTTACAACTAAACTGACACAGAGACACTGAACCATGTAGGATGAATATCATAATCGCATGCTTATTTCTAGAAGTAAGAAAACACTATGTAAACACCATATAATATTGGTTTCTATGGTATATTTTTAGAATTGATTCCAATGACAATGGAATACAAAACAGAAATAAAGAGATATTTTAAAATAGCAAAAAGTTCCTTTGCCTCATGAAGGAAACTATTTACACAAAGGGCTAACATTCAAATGATATAAGAAACTCTTAAAAATTGAACCAAAAGAAAGAAAACAATACCCTTCCCCCAAAAAACATGGAAAAATACCTGAATAAATACTTTATAAATAAGAAATGCAGGTGGCACAGAATATGAAAAATGTTCATGGTAACAATTTAGCATGGAAGTACACATCAAATCAAGGATATATCACCTCACACATGTGAGAATGGTTTATCTAAAAGAGGCAAGAATCAAGTAGTGGGCATTAATGAAGGTGTAGAGAAAAGCAGCATTGGTTTTAAAGGATAAAATGTGCAATAATAATTCTGTTCATTAGCATCTTTTAGATCTTCCTGAAGGGTCAGATAAAGGAAAATAGATAACTAAGTAAGATAACTGCTATTATAGTTCTGTGTGGATAGAACCAAGAAAAAGAAATAAATAAGTCAGATAACTGCTTTTGTAGTTCTGTGTAGACAGAACTAAGAGAAACTATCTTATAGTTCTATCACGGAATTCACCAGAATGGAAAAGGCAAGTGAAGAGACACAGAAACAAGCAGCAAGGTACATTTCAAAGAACACAGACTTGGGAGGGTAAACCAGTATTTACATATTTTAAAATGAGATTTTGTTTTTCCCTTTGATATTGTGTTTAAATAACCGTATTTATTTATTTATTTATTTTGATGAATCACTGTGAGATACAGTTACAGATTTACAAACTTTCATGATTGCCTTTTGGTCATACAATGTTCAAGTACCCATCCCTCCACCTGTGCCCATTCTCCATCATCAAAGTTTCCAGTATCCCTCCCAGCACACCTACCCCTCAACCCCTCCCACCCCATCTGCCACCTCTGTAGCAGGAACATTCCCTCATTTTCTCTCTTTCTCGGTGTTGTGGTTTGCAATACAGGTACTAAACGGCCAACATGTGTGGTCCACATTCTACTTTCAGGATGCATCTACCATTCAGAGTAAGGCCTCCAAGCATCATTTACTTGGTGGTTCCTTCTCTGTCCCAGCTGCCTTTTCTCTCAGCACATGAGATCGGCTTCCAAGCCATGGAGCGATCTTCCTAGCCCTAATCTCTACTATATGCAGCTGTTAGAAAAGATGAAATCATGGAATTTCTATACAAGTAGATAGACATGGAGAATATCATGCTAAGTGAAGAGTCAGAAAGAGAGGAACAGACATAGAATGACTGCACTTATATGTGGAATATAAAGTAACATAACCTTTCTTTTTTTAACATCTATTCATAGACTTTCCCTTCAAATAGTATAATTATTGAACTTTCCTCCCAAATTGTATAACAATTTTCTTAAATCTTTATCTTTGTTTAATTTCATTAGATAACAACAAGAAAATTGAAATCCATAGAATTTTGTGTATAAAAGTATTTATGGTATCTGTGTTCCACAATCCTCTTTCTATTTCAATCACAAGTAATTTTCATAGATTTTATAACTGAACTATATAAAAATTCTGTATTGTAATAGATTACACTGCATGAATATGAATATTTCATGAATAACTTGTTTTTAATTGCCCAACTTCTAGTTTATTTTTCTTCAGTGTAAATGTACCCATACAAGTAGTGACATGACTCTCCTATCTGTAATAACTTGCCATATATATATATACACACACATATGTATTCATTAAGTGAATAAGTGATATATTCATTGTTTTCTTAGATCATATGTTAAACATACTTGCTTTCCCATTCTGTAAGAAATTAAACAACTTTAAATATATCTCTTCTTTACCAAATTCAATAGTCATATGATCAATATGTACTACATATTAAATAAATGCAGTCATTTTCAATAAATTTAATGGCGTATTGTTTCTTCACTAGCAATGATTTCAAATTTTTGAAACTGCATCTTTTCGTACATTTTTAAATCCATGAAATATGGGAAGAATTAATTCCATTCCGTGAACCCCTACATTGCTCATGCCTTATTCATTATATGAGTTTTTCCAAATAAAAAGAACTTGCATTGAATAAAAACAGATCAGTGATATTTAGAAAATTCGACGCATTCCTGAGGATCTAAATGACATTCAACATTGTCTTATTAAAATGTAAGACATAAAGTAAAAAATTTGTCTGCTCCCAGACTTACCTTGCCGACATACTGATAATCAGATCCTGTATATTCCTCCAGTAAGAAGAACTGATTCCACATCCAGCCACGTTTCTGGCGATGCAGAACTTTGCCATCACTCCTAGGCACACGCATCCCTAAGATTCTTTGCTGGGCCACAGGAGCTCTTTGAAATATCATCTCTGGAGAACAGAAATGTGGCAGCCATACCCAGAGTAAAAACGGAAACAAAAATTGATAGATTGTCATAGTTTACTTCTTGACAAGTCTTGGTGTGGATGCAGAGGAAGCCGTCCTATTTTATTCAGTTGGATTTTACTGTTTTTCGACTGGTTTCCAACATCTCACCAAAGGTTTGAGCATGTTCCAAAAGCTGCAAACAAACAGAAACACAAATGAGTTGACAACATCAGGAATATTACAGAGTGACAAGATACATTAGTCACAAAAATCAAAATGCAAGCTTTCCTTCTTTTACATAAAATAACAATTTTGCTTTTTTTGGAAACAATACTTGCCATTGACAGATGAAGTTAATCTTGCAAGTAAACTGTGCCAGAGTAATTCAACATGAAACAGATGTGTTTTTTATAAAGTACAGGCCAAAAGTATCTGTTGGCCGAAGCAATACTATTATTTTTTTAAATAGCAGCATGATTGCTTTATGATTAAATTCCCTCAAAAGTTAAAGTATGATACAAAATAGGGACACCACTGGTAAAATTCTCTATTTTCGGTTAGTCTGCAGAAAAATCTATGGTTTCCTAGAGTAGAAATAAAAACTATAAAGAAGTAAAGAGTATATTCAGTAAATAACATAATTAACATTATAGTGTCAAAAGGTTCAGTCATGTCTTCAGTAAGCATTGGATATATTTGCACTATCTGTCTACTTCTGCCCAACCTACCTCTGTACCTGCCCCCACCCAGATAATTTCATGAGAATGTAAATCAAATTAATGCAGCTCTCCACAAAAACAGCCAATAGCTCCTTATTTTATGCTGATTAAATCCAGTCTCACAAAAACTCCAATTCTATACTCAGTTTCAAAATTGCTGGTCAGTTCTCTGACCTTCTGTTTGACTGAATTTCCCAGCCATAGAGTCTGCCTTACGGCTGCCTGCAAGACTCTTCACATGCTCTTTTCTGTTAGAACCTTTTTACCATTTCCTCTCTCTGGGATGTTAAAATATCTAGTAAGGCACAGACATTCCCTATTTATTTCTCAAACCAACCCTAGCATGCATATGTACCCATATGTAGCATATGTTTTCTTTCTTAAGCTGTATTCTGAGGTCAACCTGCTATAATGCTACAAAGGAAAGAAATTTTGCTTGTTCTCTTTTGTGGGCTATCTTTGGCAGTGTTCAGAGGCTACTCCTGGATCTGTACTCAGGAATCACTCCATATGGTGCTGGGAATAGAACTCAGAACTCCTACTTCATGCGAAGTTCATTCTCTCTGTTTTTACATTGTCAAAAACAGAATCTTCCATGTGATAGTTGCTCAATAAACTCTCCCTCCCTCCCCCTTCCTCTCTCCTCCCTCCCTCCCTTTTTCCTTCCCTCCCTCCCTTCCTCCCTCTCTCCCTCCCTCCTTCCCTTCTTCCTTCCTTCCCTCCCTTCCTTCCATTTTGGGGACACTCAGCATTCCTCAGAAATTAATCCTGGCCCTGCATTCAGGAATCACTCCTGAGTGCCTGGAGAGTTTATATGGGGTATCAGTGATCAAATTGGGGTCAGTAGATTCAAGGCAAGTTCATTATGAGTGTATTATCTTTCCTATACCCCAGCTCCATGCCGACTGCAACATTCTACTTCAGTGCATTGCAAATTGATTCACATATTTGAGAACTACTCCATTTTTACATAGCAAACAACAAAATTTCTGTACAAAACACAAATTTTCTCTCACAGTAACTGTTTATTCACGTATCATAAAAACATGGTTTTAATTTTAAAGTTTGGTTAGCTTCTCATTAGCCATGGATTTTATTTCAGGATATAATAAAATATTTTTATGAAAAGTGATATACAGAGCAGAATATTGAATTTTACTTGTTCAATATGGTAACATTTTCAAAGGACTCCAATATTTATATGCATACTTCCATTTAAAATGATTTGTGAACAACTTATAAGTTACTGTATTATTGATATTTAACAATTGAAAAGACTTAAAGGTTAATGTAAACTTGCTTTAGAAATAATATTAGAGTCATAGAAGCAATATTTCCCTTGAGTGTACAGAATGATAGTGGAGGTCTCCACAGCAATTGAAACATTCAACATGATAGATGTAAACAGTACTAAAATATACCATGTACTGCTATAATTAGAATGTAGAAATTATCTGATGCATAAAGTGATTTTATGCCACAAAGCACTAACATACAGAAACTAGGATGATTTGATTTGAAATAATAGAAACACAAACCATAATATATTCTTGAATTTATTTAACATTTGGTATTCTCTAGAAGTTACCTCTGTCTTAAGAGTTGGGGGACAATTTACATAATTGAGTATTTGTCTGTTCTATCAAAACTCTACAATATATGGAACCAATAGTTGTTCTCCTATTTATTTTTCTCTTGCTTAATTTTAAACATTAGCTACCATCAACTGTAGGCCATATTGGTGTATATTTTCAGCGCAACCAAAAACATATTAGAGGTTTTATCTGTAAAATTTAGCAATTATAAATAATTTCACATATACATAAGATAATTTTATTACTGTTTCTACTATACAACAAATTCCTATAATACATAGTATAATGCATTTGATACTGCTAAAGTCAATTAAAATATGTACATACAGGCTTTGCTAAAATGTTATTTTATAAAGGTATTTAAAAAATTACAAATCAAATAATAAAAAAATTTTAATTTTTTTATTAATTTGGTTAAATAAATGTCTACAGAAGTTGAACTTTTGATACCATACCTATAAATCTTAAAGATTTTTTCTTAACTTTTCTTTCATAAGTATATAGTTTCAATTTTTACACTTAGGTCTAGGGCCCAGTTTAAATCCAGGTTTACATAAAGTGCATTAGAGGCAACACAACTAATCACTCTTCCAACAACTTGACTTTTAAAATATGAACCATCTTGACACATCAATCTATTTATATATTTCTTACATGCCAGTCAACATATTTCCCCACTTGCTCTTTTTTCTTCAGAGCTTTCTATGCTGTTTTTTCCCTACTCATGTTTCCCATACTATTTTAAATAATTTCATGAAAAATTGTCAGAGACCTTGGGGCTGGAGCGATAGCACAGCAGGTAGGGTGTTTGCTTTGCAAAGCCAACCCAGGTTCGATTCCCAGCATCCCATAAGGTCCCCTAAGCAATGCCAGGAGTAATTCCTGAGTGCAGAGCCAGGAGTAACCCCTGTGTATTGCCGGACGTGACCCCAAAAAGCAAAAAAAAAATTGTAAGAGAACTACTAATAGGTTCCTTTAATCTTAATATATCTTATTTAAAAAGTAGTCTATAGGGTGGTTAGCTAAATTTCTTTTCCAAAGCTTACTTTTTTGAGGCCAAATCAGTTAACCTTTTAAATTGTCTTCTGCTAGTGCTAGAAAGATAAGATCTAAACATTGTATTCATTGTATCTTTTGAACAAAAGGATTGACTTTTTCATAACACTTTAGTTGTCCTTTTAATTTTTACCTAACTTTTAAATTTACCTACATAACTACTTCCTCACTAAAATATAATTTTGAGTTAATTCTAGATGAATTCCCTCCACTGGTAAAGACCACATTTTTTCCATGCACATGTATGTGATTTAACCTGTATCATGCACATGTGTCAGTAAACAATTTTAGAGTTTTATATGTATCATTCACTGTGTCTAGACCAACATCTTTCTGAATTAAGTGGAAATCAAAAGGTACATTTAAAGGATGAAAATATTATATTAGGAAGCTATACTTGTTAGAATTTATAAGTTGTTTTAAAATAAAGAGGAATGGGGTCGCACTAAAGAATCTTGGAATCGAGCAGCTTACTGCAGAGGTGCCTCCAGACAATGTGCCAGGCCGATCTCACTGGAGTGCCTCAGAAGGGAACAGTTACCGTCCTTTCACCTGCTCCCCCCCACCCCCAAGAAACCTGGTGGCCGACAACCCCCAGAACCCAATGAGAAGGGCAGGTATGACAGCAAAAACAGTGACAGCAAACTCCAGGCCTCATGGGATAGTGGATGGGCCAGCCCTTCTCATCTCCCCGTCCCTATGGGACCCTGGAGGTCATGCCCACAAACTACCATTTAAGCTCATTAACATCTATGATCCAGAGACACACAAAAGAATCTTGGTACTGAGCAACTCACTGCAGAGATTTCTCCAGACCCAAATTATCAAAAATTTTAGAATTCCAAGAGGGCGGGACCACTCTCGCAGCTGCACGACATCTTATGTTATTCATAACAAGCAATACAACGTAAGTTATCTAGCATATGCCTTTTTGGCAGATTTGAATGGTGGTGGGAAAATTCAAAATAATGGGGGTATGAAGGTGCAATGATGGTGGGGTGGTGTCAAAATACTGAGTAATCCATTAATGTTAACAACTTTATGAAAATTTAAACAATAAAATAAAATATAAAGGGGAGTAGAGTAAGTTGCAACAAAAGCTAAAACATCTGCTAGGACAAAAATGCCAAAAATAATGCAATTTGTATCATTTCCAGGGATCGCGCTTATCTTAAATAACTACTTTTTATTTTTATTTATTTATTTATTTATTTTAATTAGAGAAACACCATGAGGTACAGTTGTAGACTTACAAACTTTCGTGCTTGGGTTTCAGTTATACAGTGATTGAGTACCCATCCCTCCATCAGTGCCCATTCTTCACCACCAATGAACCTAGTAGCTTTCCCACCCCCCTATCCCACCCCCCACCCCACCCCACCTTTGTGGCAGGGCATTTCCTTTTGCTCTCTCTTTCCTTTAGGGTGTTGTGGTTTGCAATAGAGGTATTGAGTGGCCATCCTGTTTTGTCTATAGTCTGCTTTCAGCACGCATCTCACAACCCGGACGAGTCCTCCAAACACCCTTTACTTGGTGTTCCCTTCTCTATCTGAACTACCTCCTTTTCCCCCAGCATGTGCTGCCAGTTTCCAAGCTGTGGAGAAGATCTCCCGGTATTTATCTTGACTATTCTTGAGAATATATAACTACTTTTTAAAATCAATTTTCCTAATTTTAATTTTGTTTTTTCTTTGCTTTTTGGGTCACACCCAGTGATGCACAGGGGTTACTCCTGACTCTGCACTCAGGAGTTACTCCTGGTGGTGCTCAGGGGACCATATGGGATATCTGGGAATTGAACCCAGGTCAGCTGTGTGCC